GGGGGAGGGGAGGGGGAGGGATATTATCACAAAGCCTTCCCGCACATCACGCAGATCTGTGTTAATCATGACATCCATTTTTCTTGTTTGTTTAGATGCGTGGTTATGCTGTTAGTCAACAATATCTGAAAATGAAAAAAGCGACCATCGTGTTACAGAGCCAAACAAGACGATACTTGGCCAGGTTAGAGCAAGCAATCTTGTCGTGAAGGATGGAAAATGAATGCTTTTTCACCTCATCAGCTTCTTTCTTATTTCTTTCAATATAGGTCTCCCACGACAGAGTTTTTTACCCTTCTATTTCCTTCCATGGGCTCCATTCATCGCACTTTATGCAACCCTTCCATTCCTTTCCATTCCTGTGATCCCATTTTTCTTGGTCTTTTCCCTCTCACGCTTATGTTATACAGGATTACAGTTCGTTCATTGGTATTCATATGCCTGGACAACTGAATACAACTAATCTAACTCATTGATGGTGTCTTGATATTCCAGGAAGAAGTACCTCAAGGCCAGGAAGGGATTCATTACGCTACAGGCATTATACAGACTAAAGAGACGACAGAAAATCAAGAGCCGACAACTCAAGGTAACAGACCTCTATACCTACATTAGAAGTAATGTTTGCCCATCTCAGACCACATGTCATTCCCTAGAGTATCATTTCTTTGTTTAACGGTCGCTCATGGGAAGACACATGAATATGGATACAACTCAAACAAAGAATCTTGTCCTTAAGAGAATGACACCTTGTCTAAAATAGCGCAGCGCACTGATTCTAAGAATAGCTTAAAGATTCGGACAAACATTGCATTCTGTTTAACCGCTACGAGGATTATACGAACCGATTTTATTATTWTTACTTAAAGTTACAATAATAACCCATGTAAACTAAGATCAACTTAGTTATCAACAAAATTATCTGCTGAAAGTAAACTTGTAAGTTTGTTTGTCCGAATTTCGCCTTTGTCTTCGTTTTTATGACGTCACGGTTGCGCTGCGCTATTGGAAAACAGTACATCCAAGCCGAAAAGGTCTACTGAAACTGGTTTCTTACTCCATAGATTAGTTTTAAAAATATTATTTTGATCAAGATAAACGCAAAAAATACTAAAGAAACGACACCTTTTTTAACAAAATTCCCCTCATTGAGTATCTTGAGCGGTTCGTTTTCCATTCGTCCAGTCATTCATCCACTCGTTTAGTATTCCTTCATTCTCCGAAAGGAAGAGAGCCATAAGAAGCTAGGTTCTATAAATGTTATTCTGTTGCAATATCTAATCAGTAGAAATTAAGATTGTTGATGACGTTACAATTAAGTCAATTGTATGTTTCTTTTTACTGGTATGCCTATGAATTTTTCAAAAGGTGAAAATTCAAAACTTTGTTTTTGTGATTCAAGATCCACTCACAGACTGAGGCACAGTCACTTGCAATAGAGTCACCTATAGACACATGATGTATACTGCCTTTTGAAAAACCTTTGCTGCTGACCGGCTTCACAGGACTTCAACTTGTGCCACGATTCTTAGCATTAAAAAAAATTGCATTTTTTGTTGTTGAAAATTTCGGAATAGAATCACTAGTTATTTATGATAAAATACGAATCACAGGATAAATGTTGCAAATTCGGCGTAAAAGAACGTCTACGTTCCGAACAATCCAGCCAACCGAAGTCCAGTCCATTCCAGCTATGTACGGTTCCGGAT